AGCACTTTATCTCTGCTGTCTCACTGATCGTTCTGCTCGTCACAAGGGCGCTCTGAATGTCGTCAAGACACGCTGGAGTTCCAGGGGTAAAATGTAAACTAAAGACAAATGGAGAGATCCAGTGTGTGTATGTGTCTGTGTTTGCAGAAGAAGAAGAAGAGAGGTTGGACTGTGAATGCAAAATAGGTCCTTTCAGAGAGATTAGCAGCTCTATTAAGAGAGCAAATCTCTGCTTCTGGATACATGAGTTAAGGCAGGTGTGTGTGTGTGTGTGTGTGTGTGTGTGTGTGTGTGTGTGTGTGTATGGGAAGTGGGAGAGTCAACTTTGTGAGTCTGCAAGCGACTGACAGTGAAATCAGAGCGACCGTGTGGGCATATTCAAATGAGCTTTGAACGTGTGTGTGTCTGTGTGTGTGTGTGTGTGTGTGCAGAGGCATGCGAGAGGCTCCAGAGTGCTGACAATAGGCCGATGAAGCTGTATTGCTTGCTGCGCCGTTTCCCTGACCAGACAAAGATTAGAGAGGGCTGCCGCTCTTCCTTTCCCTCCCTCCCACCCTCCTGCAGCTATCCACCTTTCCTTTCCTTTCCTTCCATCCACAAGCCAATCGCCCAATCAGTGGCAAACATCCAAGACTAGGTCAGCGGGGAACACACACAAAGACTGCTGTATCATGCGCACACACACACACACACACACACACACACACACACACACACACTAGACTAATGTACTGTGTGTAATGAAAAGAGTTTGGTTTTTTTAGATTGAGGAGATCTGGATTAAAAAGGAGCCTCCCCTCCAGGATACTTCCCCTTTCAGCCCATTGGCTGTCTTTACACTTTCCATTTTTGCTGAAGGCGAAGGTTTAGCATCTTCGTCTGCTAATCTAAATCCTAAATCTGCTTTAAAGGTTTCAATCTCTTGTAGCCGGGTTGTGAGTTTCTGCTGCCACCCTAACACAATGGAAGGGAGTACAAAGTAGGATTGCTTCTTGCACAGCATTCACAAAAATGCCTTCACAAGTGCTGACCACAGAAGGACTCATACGGCAACTACAAAAAAAAAAAAAGTAGATTACCGAGAGGCTGGTGTCAGTATTCAAAAATCCCATGTCCAACTTTTACAAAGGCTCCAACAGCTTTTCTGAATACATTTGACTTGTGCTGCAAAATAATTTATAAACAGCATTTAAAAAAAACCTCAAAAGCAAAAAAAAACCAATGTCCTGGTTGCTAAATCACAAAACGTGCTACTGTACTGTACTCGCTGCCTTCTTTGGTCCAATTGGTGAAATGAGGAAAATGTTTCCTAAACAAGACGTAAGAGCCGAGAGCCATGCTTGCTGCTCTGTAAGGCTGTATTTAGGCACAGTGGTGCTTTAAGCTAAATGCTAACATCAGCATGCTAACACGCTCACAATGGTAATGCTAGCATGCTAATGTTTAAGCTAACATGGCAAAACATGCAAAGTGCAGCTGAAGCTGATGGGGCTGTCATTAGTTTAGCATGTTTTTGGTCATAAACTGAAGTATCGGACAAACACTATCTTTGACGAAATGGATGAAAAGATCGACGAAAAGATAGATGAAAAGATCGACGTTTATACAATTCATCCACTGGGGACCATGAATCTCTGTCACCAGATTTCATGGATAACCATCTGGCAGTTTTTGAGGTTTTTGGAAAAGCCAGGTCATTCTTTAGGATACATCGACTGGGAACTATGAATATCTGTACAACTTTTGGTGCAAATGCATCTTGTGAAAAGTTTGAGATTCATCAAGAATGGGAATATGAATATGTGATAGCCAAGATATTTTCCTCAGATCCACAAATGTGAAACTCTAGGAAAAGTCACAGGATCACCAGAGTCAGGATTTATCCTCTGGGAACCATGCATATCTGTGGCATTGGTAAAACGTAGTAACAACTGTTTACATTGAAGACATCGTTTCTTAAAAGACTTTCAGCTTTTTCAAATGCCAGTTTTCAATCCGTGGATGATCACAACCTGTAATTTATATTGATAAACATGAACACGTTTACATAATGGAGCTCGACTGGTATATTGGTTGGCTGATATTATTGGATCCCAACAATATCAATTTGCAGTCAAAGCACATGTGAATTTATCGCCACATCCAAAGGTGATAAGCATTCCTGTTATTAATACGAGCTGAAGTAACACAGATGATCTCAAGATGAACCCTTATGGACGAGGCTCTAAAACTCTGCAGTGTCTGTGTAGATAAGACAACTATCGAGCTCATCTCTCATCCTCAACGTAGTGGTGTCTGTTGGTTCTAACTGCACCACACTAAATGGTGCAAAAAGGGAAAGATTGCAGCAATAATTACAAATCACTCATGTGCAGTAAATTTAACTGCAGATTTCCGTGCTGCTGATGTTCTCTTTACTCATTGCCTTTAAATTCTATTACTGCCGTATTTGTGTATCCGACTAGATTACAGTAATAGTGAAATAACATCGTTAATGACTTTGTGCAAAGGACAGCGTTGCGGGCGATAATGATGTGCTGTGAAATGGTCTTAACCAAGTTGTGAAATGGTAATTAATCTTAACGACCCATCACATTGGGGTAGTGACCACCCGTATTGTTCGGGGAAACTCACAAACGATCCTTGGCTGCACCTTGGAAACAAATATCTGAGTGAAAACCACCCAAAGGTCTTCATGACATCGTACGTCCTTCCACTGATGGTGTCAAACCTGCGATGAATTCCTCACCCTCAAAGAATCCGACATCAAGCGACAAATCAATTCACGAAAACAAATCAGCGTCAGTACTTCACACTCATCTCCTCCAGATGTCTCCTGTGTATCTCTTCTGTTGTCTGAAAGGATTCAGGAAATGAAAACGTCATCCTGTCCCCTGAATATTCTTCATACCAGATAACTAAAGGACATCTTTAATGGAGTCCGTTGACTTTGTTCTACAACTTAATAACTTGCTTTCACTGAACTTACTCTGAAAGTGCCAACACTTGACCCCAATAAACTTAATAATCAACTTTCTTGCTATATAGGTCTTGAAATAAAGTGTCCTATAATGTAATCTTTCCATTTTATGAATACGGGCTCTTTTCAGTCAGATAGAGATCACCACGACACTCCATCTTCTGTTACTCTATTAGCAAACTGTTGAAACGCAGCATTACTCATCCTCTCAGAACTAAGCTCGGTATTTTAGATGGTGAATGATTCTGCCCTGTTCAATCGTCTTGAACACCGAGTTGGAGTCTGGAGTCTAATTTCTAACGCAGGATCTTTTGTGATGCTGTGGAGACTACAGATGTTCTGTTTCTCAGCCCCGTTTTGTTCTTCACTTAAATGCCGCTTTTAGTTCATCTCGTCTGGATTAAATGCATCAGCTACTCGTTAATCCATCAAGTTTGTGTGTCAGTCCTGAGTTCTACTGGCGTCAAACTAATGATTCACTGAATTGGGTTGCACCAAATAAAAGTGTCTTAGTTGGTGTAGACTTTTGTATTGGTCAAAATGGTTGCTTGGAAACGTTTGTGGCATCGTCCAATCAAAAGCAATTGATTATTTTAACAGAGTTAAGCTGTAAAATAACATCCGAAATTAATAGTCTGAGCCAAATGATGCAATTATAACTATAAATCCAGACTTTGGCTCGTTTATAAATGCGAGCATGGAGAAACGTGTGTGTTTCAAACTTGGTAGTATTCATGTAACACAGAATGAGTGAGAAATATCCATTCATGCTAAGCTAACCTAATTTGGTGATCTTGTCCAGAGTTGCTGGCATTCAGTTTTCTTATTTAATATATGGATTATTTTTGTGAAATGTTATTCAGTTTACTTCATAATTAACCAGCATTTTGACAAAAAGTCAGGTGGTCATAAGTTCCAAAAATATCCAATTATCTCTTTAACTCCTCACTTTAAATGGGTTTAAGCTAACGCTAGTTTTATCAGTTGCTTTAGTTTACACAGCTACGAGGTGTGAATATTTAATAACAACCACGTGCAGGGACTAGTTTGTGTGGTGTAATCTGTGTTAATGGAGTGATGTGTGAATCTACACTTCGTAAACATGTACGCTACAACTAAGGTCATTTTGAACGTGCTAAAAACTGGTGCATTTCTATGCCGATGACACAAATATATATTTTGTGTTCTGAACAATGGAAAGAAAGACATCGCACTTCCTTTTAAACTGCACATTAGCCATTTAACATGTAATGTCTCGAAATGTTATGCGGCTGGATGCCAACAACACTGAAATGTGTGTAATTGTCTTCGGCAGACGAGTCTCCAGATGTCACAGGGACTTGGCTCATTATCTCCCTGCGTCACAGAGAATTGTAATATTTTTCATATTAACGCTGGATAAAAACAATAAAGTCAATGACGGATTGACGAGATCAAATCCTTCTGAAGTCATGTAAAAAAAAGGTTTTAACTAGTTTCTTCACTCCGCTGGGCCGTTTTCCACATTTTCTCACATTGTTAAGGCAACAAAGACTTTAACGCAACTCGTCTTTTCTCTCTTGCATCATGTGTGTGTGTGTGTGTGCATGTTCCTATGTAAGTGTGTATGTCAAGAAAGACGCACATTCCTCAACGATCTAATGAAACAACAGAGAAAGAAGAACTCAAAGAAATAACGAGGGAGAGGCGAGAAGCCAAAAAAAAAAACGAGCCCACAAATCATGATAAATAAAGCATGAAGGCACGACGAAGACACAAGAATGGGGGAAAATAATGAGAAAAACAGCCAGGAGAGCCTGAGCGGCATCATTTCTCTGCAACCGACTACTGATGTCATTTACCCTGCATCAATATTTCAGTCTAGATGGAAGGAGAGGAGGGGGGGGGGGGGGGGGGGGGGGAGGTGGACAGATGACAGAGACACAGAAAGGGGAGGAGGGCTTTGGAAAAGTCGTAAAGCTGGACGAAGAGCAACGAAGCAGAGCTGCTGAGATTAAACCAAAAGCCGGAAACAAAGAATGGAAGGAGTACTGAGAGAGTGGCGCTGGAAGAAAAGGGAGGAGTGATAACTTGATTTCTCTTCCCGTCGCCAGAGGGTGTTACTCAGAAGTCTCGGGAGGAAAAGAAAATGAACCATTTGTTGGTCCGTATTCCTGCTCGGGCCGACGAGAGCCTCGACGCTCTGCCACATGCATGAATACTCTGCTGATTGTTAATAATGATTCCTGATGACAGGGGAAACGAGCCCACAGGCGGAGTGCACTGTAAATGCACACGCACAATGCTACAGGGGTTCATTACTAATTAGCTCACTGCAAGGCAATAATGACTAACATGCCTCTAGGCCCACTTAACACATCCCAAAAATTCTCTGCGCCACTAATGTGCCATCTGTCTCGGCACTGACCATACAGTGAGCTCCTCACGGGCACACTTAACAGATCACTGTACCTTATTAAATTACAACCAGCGGCGGCAGATGAGAGCCATCGGACACTTGACTGGTGTCCATCAATTAATGATGAACACTATTTAAAAAAAAGAACAAAAAACAGATTTCATCCCAGGAAATAAGGAATCAGAAGTTCCAGTATATGCAGGGGATAAAAGAGCTGAAATAAAACCGGATACATTTATAATGCAGCTTTCAGTTCAACTATTTTAAGAGATCAATTTGTTCCACACATGCTTAATATGAAATATATGTCTCTTTCTTATTAAAAAGAAGTTTGATCAAGGGGGGGGTGAACGTATGAGTGGGACATAAATGAACAAGTGTGTGACTGCAATAAAGTCTAATCTAGTTATGTCACCAACACAGTATATGTTTTTTTGTTTGTGTTTAAAATCAGCTTCAGCTCCAGATATATCATTAATAAATATCAATATCTCCTCTCTATAGCGTGCCACTTGTCAGCATAACACTTTAGCTGCTCAATGCTGGATATTCTAACGTTACAACCAAACTCTTCTTCACCTTGGAGTCAACGAGCAATGAACAGTTCTTGTCAAGGCTGCGAGCAGTACTTCCCATAGACTGTTTATAAGGAGTGAACATAGTCATCGTGACGTCACTCATTGGTTTGTGGACTGACGTTTTGAGGCCTTGACTATCATGACTTTGCCGTCACCATGTGACGCATACCCTCACATACTGTATATGCGAGCATCCCCTGCTTTATGGTCTGTTTGACTCTAAATGGACCATAATGTACTAAATGAACATCATGCTGTATTGAAGAAGACTTGAAACTAGAGATTGAGACCATAAACTCATGTTTACAATGTTTACTGAGGTAATAAATCAAGAGAGAAGTAGAGTCATTTCCTCATAGACTTCTATACAACCAGAGGAGTCGCCCCCTGGTGGACACTAGAGAGAATGCAGGTTTTAAAACAGAACCGGAGGTTGCCCCCTGGTACTTCCATGGGCCCGCTCCGAACAGCCACGCCCCCCCCAACAGGCACTACACTAGTTAAAATAGATTAGTAGTAGTAAGTAGTAAGTACAGTTGTCTCATGACGTTTGGATTGAGTCTGTTGAAAGACAGAATGCTTCTTGTGAAACTGCATGTATGTGACTGCATCTCAGTCCATTTTACTTCCCAACTAAATTTTCTCTTTCTGTGTATATCTGCTCCGTCAGGACTCTTGGATGTCCCTGAACCCTCGCTGTACTGTACCGACTAGCTAACAGGCTTAATGACACAGTTTGATGGATTGACAGTACGCTGCGCTGAATCAACAACGAGATGCTTTAGGCTTTTTAAATTTCAACCAAAATGAAAACTGTTGTGTAACTGTTACGGCCTTTTGAAAAGAGTTCTGAGATGCCGACCTTTAATGTAGCACCCCATCGGGACGATCAATGTGATTGTTGACTGAGTGCAAAGTAAACGTGCTGCGGACATCGCCTCAAAAAACAAACGCACCACGTAAAGATTACCGCTGTAAATGTGTGAAACTAGGACATTCGGTTCTGATTCATCTTTTTTCATTACTACAGTTGAAGAAACATGATTTAGTTGCTCCACTGTGGTGTCATGGTGTGAAATAAACGCCTAAGGAATCACATTTTACCACCGAATGAAAGAAAAACCCTCCCAGCGCACCTCCTCTGTTTCTAATTCTGTACTTTTTGTTGAGTTTCTCAAGGCAAATCTAACTCCTGCTCTACATTGTGCAGCATGAATTGCGTTAAGGAACCAAGATGCTGAACTTTGGGACCATTTCTTTGATTAAATTTGGGCAGGATGTGAGCAGTGACATTTTAAGAGCGCACTCTTGTCAGCGTTTTTCTTCCTTACTTGTCAACAAGATTGGGACTTCACAGTGTCATTTGTCAGCTGTGTTCGACGGGTGTGCACACGGCTGCTTGGAGCGATTGCTGACGAATGATGCAACACCGCTCTGTGCTTGTGAATGATTAGAAATGTGTACAGACTTCAATGATCATCACTGACATGTGAAACTAATTGAGCTCCTTAATTGCCTCTAGTATAAATCATTAATAGTGCTAATAGAGTAACACTGACAGAGTAATGACTTGGAATATGAAAGAACAGTTTGTCTCTGTGTCATAGTTACATTCAAGGGGATGTTGGGGACAATTAAACATTTCTATTAAGTCTATGGTTAACATGATGACCTGACAACTTAGCTTTAGTGGGTCTATGTTTGAATTACCTGTTTTTATCTTTCTAAATGTTGTCCTCCTGGAAACCACTATGGATATTTTAGCCAATCAAATAAGGGAAATACACCAAATAAAAAATGTATAAAAATTAAACCTTCTCCGTTTCCTCCACCTCTTCTTAAGTCATGAACACAGGATAGAAAACACTTTGTTTCACACTTTAAAACAAAAGATCACCAGATTGTTTTCCCTACTTGCTTCTCAGGGCTTCTGGATTAAAAGGTACCAAAACGTATGTTTCGCTAAAGTCTGGACGTTAACAATGAATCAATAGATCAATTGATACTTAATAACAACTTGATTGAAACAGAAATGTTCAGAAGAAAGGTGGACAACATGCTCACCCCATGGAAACTCTTTAAGATGGGAGGTGGCTCCTAGTGAATGGAATGACATCATCATATGTGACGAGTGAAAAACAATCTCATGATGATTTTGTAAACTCAATGCGAGAAAAGACAGATTGTGAATAAACCACTGATGCGGACAAACGGACAAAGATCAAACGTGTGAATGTGTCTCAAGGCGTGATTACTAAATCACTTGATTCGTCAAGCAACGCTGGATGTTCTCGTATCGCGGAATCATTTTTCCCAATTTGTAATCAGGCGCTTGTTTGTATTGATTGACATGCAGCGCTGCTGGAGGGGGAGGCGGTCGGTGGTAATTGGACAGCAGGCCTCGTCCCAGTTTGCGGGGATATTTTTTCCCCCAACAATACCTCCCAGGACTTCTCGTGCATCATCATCTCATCCGAGCTGTTGCTGGAGCGCCGTCATTCAAATACCTGCCTGTTGTCTGGGTATTCAACGCTGCATGCACAGAGGAACACACCCGAACGCGATGTTCCTTTCAACCCCCCCCCCCCCCCCGACCCCTGCACATTAAACACACAGAATACCGGGGTGTCTTTCATCAATTACGACAAATGCGATGTTTTTTTTGGGTCACTCCAGGGACAAGGCCTGCCCTGAGAGGCCATCACTGATTGGACACCTCGGGTGACACGGCTGGGGATGGACAGCGCAGCATGCTTGGTTGAACAGCCTCGTCCTTGTAGACCACTTGACCACAGATAAACCACATCTTGATTTTTAAATTGAGAGTAATTTGAGCATAGTTTGACCAGATGAAAATGGCTTTCTTCAGGGTGTCCTTGAGTTTTGAGAAAAGCTACATTTAATAAGATGGTGAAGCTCTTTGGAATTTAAGAACGACCAAATTGAGTTTAAAAGTGTCTGACACAAACAACAGCTTACAGAAGTAAAATCTTTGACAGCAAGAGATTAGGGTTATGATGACAAAAGTGTCCAGAATTAAATAAATAATAAATAATTAAATAAGACATTATGAAATATATAACAATTAAAAAATACAGACTAAAAATATGATGCTTCCATGGAATTATGAAATGACAACAAAAATAAAAATTGTATAATACTGCACATTATACTTGTATAGCAGGCCATATATTTTAACTCCAGCTAATTCTTAAAAAAAATTACCATTACTATTAATGTTATTTTTTCAAAAGTTTCAATTTCACGATGTCACTGGGAACAGTGACGTTTTGGGGAAAACAAACCTAATTTCATGGTTATACCATATATTCGATCTGTATTTATGAACAGTTATTTCCTAAAGTCTTAAAACCGGCCTGAGAAAACAATATTTCACTGTCCTCTCTGAAAATCTGTGTTCTAATGTTTGTGTTGGTTTGCACCTGCATACACAGGGTAAAAACAAGTCCTCTAGAAAAAACAAGTTGTGTACGTTCAGACATTTGTCTCTGACGGCAGCATTTTGATTCTATAACTAGGAGAAGCAAAAGTCAGTAATTCAAAAAGAAAACAGTATACAGAATGGCTATAAGGTTCCAATTAAGAAAGCACATGTTCGTTATTGCCAATTAGCAGTAGTGGTATTTCAGTTGTCAAGTGTTCTCTATAACCTTAACTGACCATTAGACCAATGAGAAGAGGTTAAGATGAATGGAGCCTAGCCCCAGCCAATCACGTAAGCAACTAGAGGCAGTGAAGGGTCAGTAGGCGGGGTTACAGGTCGCACAAGGAGGAGGCTGTTCAACACTTGTTGGCACGATGGCGCAGACTGGCTTTGGCTAAGCCTGGCCCAGATCTCAGTCCATCGGCATTGGGGATTAGCCCTGGAATGGAATGACGGCGTGACAATCGGTTGATTGGCTGATGAACCTGTTGCCGGGCAGATTCCAGGCATTTGGGTAGCCCTGATCGGTGGCTCTTACCACTACGGATATCCGGACTCGTTTGGACGGCCTCCTGAGCTCAGGAGACATGGGGCTCTCCACGTTGTTGTTTTTCTTACGGGCAACCAGAGACAAGCACACAACGTTAACAACAACCTCAACGTCAGTTTGACTCTGCAAAAAAAAAACAACGTTGCTTGCAACGCCACTTCTACAAGACCAAAACGTCAATGCACCTGGGGGGAAAAAAAGTAATTGAAAACTTATTTCTATGAAATAAGCCATTAGCAGGGTGGTGCAGGAGAGAAGAGACCTTTTATTAAAGCCCTGCAGGATGCAAGGCTGAGACAAAGTGAAAAAGGACTGAGATACTGTGCATGTGTTTGTCTGTGTGGGAGGGACTGTACTCTAGAGCGTGAAGGACTGTATGTGAGAGATAGCATAGGACTGTGTGGGTGTGCACAATGTGTGAACAACAGCATGTGAGCCACTGTGTGTGTGTGTGTGTGTGTGATGGTGTTTATTGGTGCATTTGAGGATAGGGCTCCCTTACCTCTAGGCCTTCTGTGTCTGGACTGGCGCAGAACAGGTTCTTTAAAGCAATGCCTGAATTATCTTGTGGGCCTGAAAGAGAGACAGTGAAACAGTCCATTAGATACTCTTGTGCATTCTGTTTGCAGGCCTTATCTCACTGGTCCCATCTAGAGAATCATTACAAATACAGCTGCATCATCCGCAAACAGTCGGTCTGAGGACGAATCAACAGAAGACCAAGACCTTGATTGTTCCAGGGAAATGTTAACAGCTGTTCTTCATTGAGATTGAATCAACTCATTACTAGATACTATTTTCCAAAAATGCAAGGACAAGTGCTAAACCTCCTCTTAAAGCCATTAGTCACTTGTACCGGGTTACTATATTCACAGGTTCTACTTTTGTTTCCACTGGGCCTGTTCAGGGGACAAGCTCCTGGAATTCTGAACATTGATAACAGAAATAATGTTCACACATGGTTCAACATTTTTGAACATTTGTTGAGCAGTAAAATGTTCTACAAAGATTAGTTCAGGTTCAACTAAACTATTCTGAGAGTACATGGTCATGTTCATGAAATGTCACATGTACTCTAATAATCTGTTGAACATCTACAGACAAAGCAAAACAGTTGAATTGTTGAATCCCAACTAATGTTGCTGTTGAAATGTTACAAATATAACATAAACTACTTGTAGGCGGACTATATAAGTAAAGCGAGTGAACAATCAAGCACACTTGTTGTTCACTGGTGGAGTTTAAACTTGTTCATGTAAACGAAAAGAAAAGCAAAGTCCGTTCTTAAACTGTCACCATTGGTCGCTTAACTCAAGTAGTCTGATCATTGATTTTTCAAGCAATAATACCCAAAATGCACTAGTTCCAGCTTCTGAATTACACACTTTTGCTGCTTTTCATTGTCTTACAACATGTGACAAAATAAATACTGCATCTTTTCGGTGTTTTTTGACCACAGGAAGACTCAAAAGCCAAGAGCTCGACACTCTTAGACCAGAAACTGACATTGCCACACAGCAAAATGTGTCAGTCAGAGCTTCTCACAACCAAGATGGAAAGACAGTCAAACAACACATGAAATTGCACCGAGCTCCTTCAAGACTCCTCTTCTTCTGTGGTTCGCTTTTGTGACACCGCACTCAATGAGGCATTGGAATGTGTGCACAACAGTAGATTTGGTAAAAACAGATTGTTTTGTCCTTTTTCAATTAAGATAGTGGGGAATCAGTTAGTCCGAAAATAGTCTTTACATCATCCAAGAGACACAAAGAGAGCGACAGAGACAAAGAGAGAGAGAGTGAATAAGAGGTTCAATTAGTGTGATGTGAGTTTAGAGACAGAAAGGCTATTACCGACACTCCTTCCGGATCTATTAAATCTGCTATTCTTTTCCTTTTTGATTGCCTCATCTGTCTAGTGTTTGGAGTCCTTCTCTCTCCCTCTCTGTCTCTCCCTCTCTCTCTCTCAATAAGTGTGTGTTTCTTACTGGTGGGGATCTCGGGGGGTCGCTCCACCACAGAGGGTCTCTTCAGTGCAGGTTTGAGGGGCTTCTGAGGGACTGGACGAGCCGGGCTGAAGGAGGACTCCTCAGTGGAGATCTGCACACACACACACACACACACACACACACACACACACACACACACAC